TGCTCGAATCATGCATTACTCTGCTACTCCTTCTGAGCACCAGCAAGAATGTCATCATCGTCTTTACTACAAGAAAAGCTTGCAGCATTCCCACGTTTCCAAGCCGGATCTAGACACATAGCCCATGGTCATGTCCTCGGCCAGCGCCCACCTCACATAGGCGGCAAAGAAATCCAAGAATGGCCAGAAGATCGGGCAAGAAACCTCCACAAAGACCTTGTATGAAAGCACCTGCCAGCAAGAGGACCGTCGCTCATGGTGGACGTTCTCTGCAGAACAGAAAAACGGCTTTCCTCGGAAAGTTTTGTTGGGGCTTCAAAAATGGAACAATGGATCCTGAGCCGTACCGGGATCCACTGCCTTCCTCCCAATCAACAATACTCCTGACTCAATTGCGTTCAGATGCCAAACTCGAGCGCTGCGCGGGATTTGCACTCTTGCGAATAAGCTTACAGCCGTTGCACGTCTAGGCAGTACAATGAACGGCCTGACTCGTCATCCTGTCAAGAAGAGCTTGCTGTACATCACCGCGCACTCGATCATGGAAAGCTCCAATACTGCCAAACCATCTGATGACGCACTCTTGAATGATCTTGCGGTCACACGGCATGGGTGTTCCGGTGTGCGGGTCCTTGTGACCCACGGAGCAGCAGTAGGCTTCTGACTTCTCGATGCTGAAGTCTACAATTTGAGTGCGAATGTGGCCCACCTTGCAATTCTGACAATTAGCGGTTTACACAGCACTGGCCCAGATGAGCTGCATCTTCAGGCTTCTACGATTTGGGGGCTCTTTGCTGGAATCTGCCACCTCACGGAAGTACTGGCGCGGCCAGCTCGCCAGTGGGGCGAAGATGAGGCTCGAGAAGAAAATCGTGACGAGAACGAAAATCATGAAGGAGTTCTGGCCGGCGACGTTGTACATGCCGAGGATTCCTCGGCGAATAGCTGATCGCTGGAAGGTTGAATCTACTCGCCGGGAATACATATTTATGCAATGAATAACCCTTCCATCATACAACCTAGATTCCCAGATTCAGCAGCATGAAGGACAAGCTTGTGGACAGCAAGAGCGGCCCGAAGATTGTGGGCTGGATCCGGACCCTCTCCTGCCCTTTGTGGGTGTGTAGAAATGCCGCCATCCTGAGTCTCCGTCAGGCTCTAATTTCGACTGCCGGGGTTGCCAAGACCAAGGTAGGCTGAGTAGGCAGAACCAGCCCGCCTCGGGGCAGCCAACTGCTTGACAACTCCACTACCAAGGCTCCACCAACCAACATCAATAGTCATTAGTCGCATCCCCCTAACATTAAACTTGAACGGTGGACCCCAGAAACTCGAAAAGAGTTCAATATTTGGTGGTCTGCTATCTCCACGGTACATTTGGGTGATCTTGCTGTTGCTCCATCTTGAACCGGCTTTACAAAGGAGGTGATCATTTCAGAAGGACGTTGCGGCAAGGGTTTGAGTCTCAGGCGGGGTGTCAAATGAATGAAGCATTTGACTAAAATCAAGGTCAGCTCGGTGACAGCAGGGCCAGGACTGCTCATCAACTCTGGAGTATGATAATGCGGCTGCTACTCCAAAAGCATGTGCTGCTCGGGTGCTCAAATATGCACCATAGTCGTTGCGCATACGACCAATCCCAAAGAACGACGAGTTGTTCGGAGCTCTTGATGATCGCGCCGAGACCTCGGTCAGCATCGGAGAGCTCGTGCATGTTCGCACGAGCGCATGTTTACAGATATACTACTTATACATTCATATTGTCCTCATTTTAATGTTTATTTGCACATGCACACACCATGTACTAAGCAGCACATATGCACCCACACAAGCACTTGCATATGTGCATATACATATACATATGGACACCTATACATATTGTACGTATTTTATACAGATATGAAGATGTCTGTGCCGCACTCAGGTTACAATACACAAAGAGATTCAAACCGATGAAAGGCCGTACGTTCCGCATGCCGACTAGCAAAACCAAGTTTGCGATATCGCACTATCAAGCAGAGCAACCGTAAAACCATTGCTAGGAACATGGCCCAGGGGCTGAAGACCCCTTCAGCTTTGAGCCTTGGATCGCTCTGGTGGATGCAACATCTGTCAACGAAGGCCGTTTGCGATGGCCGCCGCCAGAAGAATAGGGTCAACAGATATGTCACTGATCCAACCAGACTGCACCACACAGACGAAGAAACGAAGCTCGGCAGAACTTGAAAAACATAGAGCGGTATGACACACACCGCTGCCGCAGTACTGAGGACGGATGCCGCAGTGCTGTTGTAGAGAAATATAAGGGCGAGAATCTTCTTCCATGGAGGCCCTTGCCAACTATGCGACCAAAACGCCTGTATCTCTCCAGCTTGCTTGCTCAAGCCGTAGAAATCTCCTTCGCTGCGGCGGAGAGGTCTTCCGAAGCCGGCCAACACACGACCGATTGGCACAGCCCTCACGATTTCGGGACGTGTTGGCTTCATCCGTGAAATAGCATCAGCAAGCGCTTGCATTTTTAGCTCCATATCGGGCAGAATTTCATCGGGAAGAGCCTTCCCCTTGTCTTCACCTGGGGCTTGCTCGCCAACTGGCCACTAAACCACAGCAAAATTTCAAAAGCCAACTTCTGATAAGCATCCCTGCGGGAACATGGGAGCTGTTTTGTGCAGATGTACTGTCCCACCTGCTGGTGGTTCTCCGGGGGCGTCATCCCCGTCCGCCCACTCAACGACGAAAGTCACGAGATCTCCCTGAGTCTCAGATTCCAGGTTGCCCTCTGGAGCGGCGATGGCAGGAGATTCGGCGGCCATGACACGCTTAGGCACAGGCCGTGCCTACTACAATCATAACCATACTAAACTTGAGTTTTTCTGGCAGTAGCCATGATTTCAGCAGCAGCCGTAGCACTGATATCACGATGGTGGTACTCTCTAGGCACGAGTTGCAGTTAGCAACCTTGCCACATGATGGCACAAGATAAGGAAATTGCCTTCCGCTCATTCGCTGAATTTAGGCTTCCACCTTTGCCAACATGATTGTAGGTGGAGCCAGGAAAATGGATTGGTTGCCAACCTGTGACTAAAAGGCAAAGTCAACGGTTTGTGAAGATTCTCCCTGTCTGAGCAAATTGAGCAAACACAGCCCTGACTTGTGACTGCACGGAGCCTTCTTTTGCTGCTGTTGCACAATTGCGTTGCTGCTCTAGTCGGGCGGCTCCGCTGAAGCTTCTGACCGTGCTCCCCTCGCAGTCTTGCGAGCTGCAAGCCAGACAGTGCTGCCTGAATCTATGCCGTAATCCTCAGCTGATGGCATGCTTTGGATCCTCATTACATCATTCTACCGCCAGTTTCTCAATCCATCGAAGTTGGCGGTGTGGTTACCAGTATGGGACTGACAATCCATTGTCAATGCACACAACCGCCGCAGTACCACTTCCCAACAGCACACCGCAATCGAGTTGTTATGTCGTGTATTGTCACCAAAACCCTCCAACTTCTGTAGACACTGTAGAGCCAGTCTCACTTTCTCAAGCTGAGCCTAAGCCCATCTGACCCGACGACGGCCGACGTGAAGTAAAACCTTTGTGCCTATGCCACCAAGAAGAGGCTTCGTCAAAGAGCTACAGAATAACAGCCAAGATTCTGAGAGGTGGCGGCCGTCCTCGAGTGATTTACCCTGGAAGACCCAGGCACGATACTCCGGTGCCACATCCTGTCAATATTGCTAAGGACGAGCTCGCCCTACTAGGGTTTCGCTCCAGGCACCATGCCAAACCGTTTCCCCTCTTTCGCCCGGACGCGCTTCTGGTCGTTCGACTGTTGAAAAGAAGTGGATTGGACCCTCACACTCGGGCTTGACCAATCTGGCCTCGTATCCGGGCCCTTCTGCACACGCCCCTCCCTGTTTCGGCAGCCTCCCCTGAATCCTCCAAACCACCACGGATACCGCCGTGACAAGTCATGATCTACAACTTCGGCACCGATATGTGCAAACTCTGGGGGAAGCCGTCCCTCAGTTGCCATGCTCTTCGGGTTTGTGCTTATGGGATCCCCAGTGTGTCCAAGAACCCAGACGTCCTTGAAGCAGCCTGGCGAAGCTTCTTCGATCTGGGCTTTCAAGTCCTCGACTGAAGAACAGGACTCGGTCTCGAGGCGTAGAAAATTGCCATCGAACGTGCGAATGGAGATCTGAATCTTCTGCTTCGACAAAATCAAATCGATAGTGGAATCTGCCTGTATCTCGTAATCTTCAAATCTGAGTCGATCCGACAGCTTCTCTCCACACCAGACCCATTGCTGTTGTGACGCGATTAATCCCTCAGCCTCTTGGACTCGCGCCTTAGCTGATTTGATTGTTTCCGACGGCTCAATCGACAGCGAAATCATCTTGCCCGCCATTGTTTGCAGGAAGATCTGCATTCCTCCTTGCCACTACACTACCCAGAGCGTCCAACAGCGCAGCTGCTCTCCTGCGGCCATTGCTGGCCTATGTGCATAAGCAGAAGCCGAGGGAGGGAAACCTGTAGCTGTGCTTGAGATTAGAAAATTGAGAGGGTGCGGCTCCTACCTGCAAGTCGTGCCCGCGCGAGTTCTCTCCCTATCCTGACCATCCAAACCACCCGGAGGGGTCCTCTCACAGATCCACTGCCGACGAAAATCCTCGAGACCACCAGGCAAGGGGCGGAGGTTCACGAATCAACATATATCCTATCGCTAGTGCCCAGCCAAGGCCCAGAAAGTACAAAGATCACAGAATCGGTTGTCCAGGTCACATCCAACTGCTGGAGCCCCTGTGTAATTACCACTGAAAGGAGACAACATGTGCTTGATTCTCCAGGAGTGGGTACCGTGATTCGGAGTTTCGGAAAGCCCGGTGAAGCGCAACAGTCCTAGAAGGAAGCCATGGTATTATGTACTACCCAGCTGACTGGCTAAGCTGCGGAGAGTTGGAGCCCTTGGAACCCATTTCGGGACTTCAGTGCCCTCGGCAGCACATACTGTAAGTATAAGGCACAAGTGGAGTTGGTGAAAGTGACATTCGCGAACTGTCAGCAACTTGGTACAGAAATCACAGATTGTGCACCGCACCTTTTGCACTTTGCTGACAAGCCTAGACCCTAGGTAAGGATTTCGTTCACCCGGTGCTTCACGTTGCTTGTTGCCAAAGACGCAGGCGCAGCGACACTATCCGCCAGACCGGCCGAAGCTGAAGGTCGAACCTGCCCAGCATCTTTGTCCGTATGCCGTATGTAGACGTCTTATACATGTAAGTATCCATCACATGCTTGAGTGAAAAATCACTTAAGCATTAGATAAACATTCGTGTTAAAATTCTGGTCCCGGGTCTTTGCATCACACTCACACTCGGGCAATACCAGGCGAGGTCTGTAGACAACACACTAGCACAAGTCTGTGGGCTCGGGAGCTTCAGCAGCACGGTGTTGCTGATATCTCAAGAAGTATCTCATGATTCTTGGCTCGCCAGACACCAAATCCGGAAACACTACTTTCCGAAGGTACATATTAAGGTCTTGTGGTAGCAAGGCGCTCGAATCCGTCTCAGTTCCGACAGTCTTAACCCCAAACCGTGGATGACAGGTGGCCTATCGCTTGCACTTCACTCAGAAGCTGAAACGAAGCAAAGCACACACACTCTCTCTATATCCCTTGCCAGGCACCTTCATTCCCAACATAGTGCGCTGCTGCTGCGCCGCTAATCTACAGCCATGGCAAGATAGTGATGCGTTTGAGCACTTGCCACAAGATCATCTTTGCCGTATCGTCTGACTGTCGCCTCTCCGGCAGCTTTGGACCATACCAAGGAGCCAATAAGGGCTTAGACTTGCCAATGCGGAGTCAGTACTGTTTAGAAAGGAGTTGGTGCTTAGACCCCCTCGGCGACATGACACCGGGCACTGGAGAACGCTTGCATGTGGCTCTTGTCGACCACGGACCACTGAGCTACTCGCTTCACGCCCTTGGTGAAGCATGAAGCAGCGAGTCCAATTAGATGAAGCGCATCCCGGTTCAATTCAAGTTCAAACCTTGGGAGCTGGATGCCAGAGGCTACTGCAGAGAGTCCGAAGAAGACAAATGCCCAAAGTCGAAATCGTGACCTCCTGCAATTCGCCCATAGTGGAGTCGCAAGCCATTTTGGCGGGGCAGCCGTGCCGCGAGATGAAGGTTTCCTAGAGGCAACACTCAGTGGCTGCCTTTCGGCCGTGGGTGCTTGGCGCGGAGCTGTGCAGAAGAGCCCGGCGTCAGACCCTACAGAGCCAAGTCCGCGGAGTTTGTGAAGCCTGCTTCGGCTTGCTTCGGCATTTGGCCGGCCCGGACAGCTATGACTAAACCGCTTCGGGGTGAGGAACAAGACCAGGGCAATGTGACGAACACCTAAGCCCTTAGCCCATACAAACTTTCATACCTTCATGCATGTCCAGGACGGCACTAGGAGATGTGATCTCGCATGTCCAAGCATTGCACTCAAGCTACGCAAGGGGTATCGCTCTTCACTGGCATTCAGTTCCGAAGATCCCGAGACTCATGTTAGTCCAGGATGCGCCAAGGCCCCGATCGCGCAAAAAATGTGTGTGATGACCTGCATGTTGGGTTTCTTCCACTCAGGGCCGTTTCAGGCTCGGGTAAGTTTTGGAAGTCGCTTCGTGACCGCCTGAGATGCCAAAGCTACGGCAACTCTTTGCCGCGGCATTGAAATCAACCTCAAGTAATTATTCAATATTCTTGCGTGTGACAAACTGAGAGCTGCCTGGTGGTGCCACTCCTGGACATTGCAGAGGGTGCCTTTGCCGTCCTCTTACAAACAAGTGCTCACTGAAATCATCAAGCATTAGATTCTCCAGTTGCGCTGCTTGGAGTCGGACTCGGAGCTTTTCGAAAGGTCAGGTTTGTTCTCGTGGACCAATGCAGATCCGATCTGATAGCCGCTAAAGCGAAGCCAGGAGTCAATGGCACACACTTTGGGGAGCCGTCTCCAAGCGAGGCTTCCGCCTAAAGCTTCGGCTTAGCTGCCGAGAAAGTCCGCATGAGGGCTTTTTGTCAGGCTGTCCTCACACCCAAGACTTTCTTTCCTGGAAGCTGCAAGGTCCGAAACCCGAGCTTCAACCGCTCAACTCTACACCAAGACCTCCTGAAGGACTTCCGGAGTGGAGTCCTCATGGAAAGCGAGCGCGCCTTCCACACTCTGCACATGCATCCTGCGCAGCAGTGGCATGATCTGCTTGCAGAGCTGGAATGTCCGAAAGCGAGTGGTTCTTGCTGCCACAAACTTTGACGAGCCGACCCGCGGCGTCGTGAACGGCAACAGACTCGGCACGTCAATTTGTAAAGCGATGTCGTGCCGGGCTTCCGAAGCTTGCGCAAAGCCTCTGCCAGGTTGGGATTTCCTGCCTCGGGCAAGGGAGGCCTGTACGGCTACAACGACTGAAAAAAGCGGCCGGGCGGGCCAACGAACCCGGTGCATACCGAAAAATGACACGCCGTCCCAGGGCACAAGTGGCTTCCTTCATATCAGCTGGCAGCAGTAAGAGAGACAAGCCGATTCCTAGAAGACCGTAGTGGCCGTAGTGCTTGCAACCACAGGACTTCGCGGGATAAGTCGCCATAACCTTCGGAAAAGGCAAGACACTCGATTTTCTGGGGATCATGGACCTGAGGTGCCTGCCGCAGGGCAGGCAGGCTAGCTTGTCGAGTTGACTGAGCCGAGCAGAGAAACGTCTTGAAGTGACGGCAGCAAAACAAGGAGTGTCATAGTCCTGGAAGACTTGCAAACTCCCGCTCGGCCGGCCTTGGGTCCCTGAAGGAGCTTAGAAGAGGACTTCAGTATTTTGCTGGAGCTTAGTTGCTGCTCTCTTGGCAACCCTTTCGGCACTGCAGATGAGAAGTGGTGCCGTCGTGGCTTACCTGCACTCGGAGCTCTGCGGACGGGTTCCCCCCGACTTACATCAGCTGACTGCGTGTGCGTGGGGGGCGAACTGGCAACGGCACACAGGCAAGCCTTGCACTACAGGTAGGCGTGGAGTCACCAGGATGCGACGGATGCCTAGTCAGCAGCAAGCCCGGTTGTAGCCGGTGCTTCAGGACCTTCACAAATTGCATTTGTCCTGTACCTTCTGTGGGCTCATGCGGTGTATGCTTGAAGCCAAGTTTTCATAACCTCGGACCCCAAGCATGACACTTCACCAGGAGAACGGACGAAGCGATCTTATCTCGCGAATACTCGAACCCATCCATGCAGCGCCAGATCTGATGCCGCGGCTGGCACTGCACAGCCATGAGCCCGAGATAGCAGTTCCGTTCTTGGAACTGGTGGTGAATCCAGGCACAGGGAGCCTTCGTCCTGGGTGGGTTTCTACAGCCAAGCATGTGCGGGGACCTGCTGGAAGACAGCTTAGACATGAGGGCACTGCATGGACGGACTCCCGGACAGACAAGCTCGTCGCAGAAAGTGTGTAAGGAAGACTGCAGCTAGCGCTGCAGAATTCCTGCTTGCTTCAGACCGTGTTGCTGAGTTCTGTATGGGGCAGCCTTCGACCCGTGGATCTGTTTTTAGATCTGAGTTGAATCCGCACAAAGACCTTTTGGGTCGTTGACATGATGGCAACCTCCCTTTCTGTGCGCTTCTCAGAACGATCCAAGTTCTGGGAATATCGACTGAAGCTCCAATCATTCATGGACAGCTAAAGCGATCGCCATTTGCAGAGCGTCGTGTGTTTGGAAGACACGACCCAGCAACTAGCATGAGTCTAAGTGGTCTGTTTGCCGTTCTGCGGGCGTCGATGCGGTACCACAGGCTTGTTGGGCTCTTGACATCAAGTTTCTCAAGCCACAGGAGCCGAGCTGTTTAGTACGCATGCACCTGCCCGGCACTAAACGCACGTCAAGGGCAAAGGGAGCATCGTCTGCATGCCCCGGCGCACCAGCAGCGCAAGGCTGCATGAGTGGTTGTTAAGCAAGTGAGCCGCGGGCGAGGGGAGACCACCCATCGCTGTCTGTGCCACTAGTAGGGTCGCCAGCATCAGGGGCCTCCATGCCTTGCAATTACTAGCACAGGCACTACGCACACGAGCGTGCGCAGGAGCACATAGAGGCTCGAGGGCATTGCTCAATGCAGCAGATGCTACCAAAGAATACAGGCTGCAATCGACGACGCACTGTTGGCTTCGGCACCATTTGGCCAGATAAGGCACCTGGACAAGCCGGTCTGTTTTGAATGGAAGGCCTGGCCTCCACCTAGACCTAGATGGCGCAACCTATGGAGAGTGACCGTCTGCTGCAATGCTGCTTCCTTTTCGGCCATGATGAAAGCTCGAGAACGCAACTGTTGGCCAGTCAGTCGTAGCACCCCTGCAGCAGCCACCGAAGCACAAACAGGATGTGGATAGCAAAAGCGACCGGAGAACGACTTTCAGTTGTTACAATGGCTCTGCGGAGCTTGCAGTTCTCAGACTCAAGCAGAGCCGTGCATTCACTTTTCGGGATCGAACCTTGACCAGGCTGTTCCCTGCACAACATGGGACAGGGCCTGACACGTGCCTCAAGTAACTAGCAGCTTTTGCATCGATCTTGGAACACACCGTCGACATGACCATGAGGTTGCGGCTGCCTTTCATCATCTCCGCATAAGCATGAATAATGGCTCTTTCCACCCGAGGCATGGCGACGCTTCAACAAGTTGTGCACCAGCCATGCTTTGGAAGTAGGTCCTGGGGCGCCAGGGTGCTGGATAGAGCCGCTCGGATTGTACCTCGCCGGCGCTGCGGGGAATCTGCCGAACCCTTTGCAAACATTTGCATCTCATGAAGACGCCCAATGGGCCCTTCGTGGCCTCATCTTCACGTCTGCTTGACTTGAGGTTTTAGTGGTAGCCTATTTGGCAGAGGGCCCTTAGTCCTTATGTAGACTATAAGCACAGGACGACTCCTGCGTGGGTTCCCCATAGCGGGAGCTCCTGCAAAAGAGATGCATGCCTCATGCAAGAACCGGGCGCCGTACATCTGCGATGCCCTGCTTGTTTGGCATCTTACATGTCTTCTGGACACACGAGAGATATATGCACGGAGAAGCTTCACCAGTCAGCTCGGATCCGCAGACCACCCGTGCATTCACGAACTGAGCGCCACGTCCTCACGACCGTCTGCTCCATTGCCCGATGCTGGCTGAGGGCACATGGCACTGCCGGCCTTCGATCTGCCTCTTGGGGCAGGGAAGCACGATCATCAAGTCGATTTGCTCAATCTCCACAGCTCGAGGCAAGACGACGAAGGCCGTGTCTTTGCTTGACACGACTGCTAGGGCAAGCGCGAGAAAGTCCGGGCTTCTGAAACCGAAGTGCTACTGCAAGGAGTGCTCATGCACGCTGCTGAGCCTTATCTCAGGACGTCCATTCCACCCCCAGAGCATCACCGCTGGCATGGCCAGACACCGTCGATACTCAGTGTGACTGGCTCCCGCGCTGGGCGGCAGCAACACGCACGCAACACCTAATCTCACCAAGTTTCGAAGCAGGGGTTGTGTCGAACGAGGGGGGATCACACTATTTTGATCTTTTCAGATGTCGACTGCAGGCCTGTGAGGAAGTGCAGATAGTCTGGGCCGGCACATTTTTGCAAGGGGTGCCCTTGCCGTCGGCGTGCTAGTGCTAGTGTGTTTTGTCGAGTCGGCAGTGTCGGACAAATTTCGGATACATACTCGGGACACACAGTCAGATCCGCAAGCGGATCGACGAGTTCGTGTCTGGGCCGTTACCCAAGCAGCGTGACTCCTTGGACGCACGGACATTGCCGGCCCATACTTTGTTTCATGCTCACTTTGAGTTCCATGCAGCACGGGCACGACACAACACAGCTTAGGTCGCAATGGTCAACAGTGGCAGCCTCTTCTGACAGGCCAGACATGTTGAAACAAAATGACGTGAGTCTTCCCTGCAGCGTGCCACATCCCGGATGAGCATCGTGTCCGAGACTCTCGGGACGATGAGCACACGACCAAGCAGCTAGTGGCTGGGTACCTTTCTGTCGGGCTGCAACCTGTCTCACTGTGCGGCCAAGCCTTGCTGATCCGTGGTCTCGTGACTTTTCGGAGGGAACAGTGGCCTGACACAACAGATGGCCTCGTCGTGATGGCCAGCGGCAGCGTCTAAGAAGCCTGCACACATGCACAGGACGGCGGCACGAAAAGGGCTGCTTCTCTGAAGCATATCATATCCTGCTCTCGCAACAAGAGATGGAAGAGATAAAGGCTGGTGATGTGGCAAGCTCGTCCTTGAGCATTGCGTCGTGCCCGGTAAAAACGCCACAAGACACAACAGGACGACCGATATCACCTGACCGGACAGGCGAGGGCGTCTACGGTTGAGTCTGCATGGCACCGAGCTGGAGTAAAGCTTAAGCCTTAAGCAAGACTGAGGGTACTGCGTTGGGAGTTTCAGACTCGGAATCGAGCACTGCTTGGCTGCCGGAGCGAACGACCTGCCAGCAACGTCGACTGACCCAGAATAGTGTTCGAGGGCAGTGAAGGGAGGCATCACGGAGTGCAACGGGGCTGTCAATCCAACACGTCTAGCGCGAGAGCTAACAAAAGCAGATGCGAATTTTCAGCCGATTTGCCACTTCACGGTTGACGCGGCAGGGCCGACAATACAGCAGTCTGCTGTGAGCCGTAAAGGGAGAGAGCCAGAGGATGGAGAAGCCGGAATCGGAAAGTCTGGGCCAATGCCCAAGCTATATGTGAAGTGGCGGTGCTGAGGGCAACCCATCTCATCCGCTGCCTCGCTCTGCGCCGTGACGTGAAGCGTCCTGAGCGGCGGTTTGCAAGAACCGCGAGCTCCGCCACGCGAACTTTCGGAAGTCTTACTTGGACTCGGAGGCTATCTCGGCCGGGAGCTTCTGAAGGCTGTCACCTTGCTTTCGCACTTCGGCGCGATGGAGTGTAGCGACAAACGCCCTGCAAGCTTCTGGTTGCCGCATGCCTTGCATGAATTTTGCTGCAGCCCCAAATCATTTGGGCGCACAGCTTTGAGAGGACGCAGGAACTCCTGCGGAGTTGGTGCAGGGCAAAACCACGAGAACGTCTCTGTCTCGCCAACAACTTCTCACCGGTACTGTTCCGACACAAGTGCCAGCTCTTCACCGATTGCCCTCGCCTTTTCGGAATTGTCGACGTGTGCATACCACGGCACTGCCGACAAATGTCAAGGTGTAGGCGAAGGACATGACAACTGCAGACCTCTCGGGGAACAGATCGAGGCAAGTAATGGCAGGCAAGTCGAAACATGTAGACGCCCGAAGCCGAAATCTTGCTGCTGCATGCGTGGGCCTACACTCTGCCGGATGCTGTTGCCGAAGTCCCGGAGATGTGCAAACATAACATGGCTAGGCAGTAGAACCGTTCAGCCATCAGAACCAACTAAGCACGTAGCCTTTCGCTGCGCTTCGGGCCTTTACATCGACAAGCTGCGAAGGC